AATTACATTATATTGCAAAATAAAAACCATTAATATCTATAACAAAAAATTATTATACAATTTAAATTGCATCAAATTGCAAAATAAGAACTCTTAATATATATTTATTATGAAAAATTGTTCTATAATTTGAATTATATTAGACTGTCAAATAAAAACTCTTAAATTAGAATACACCCCTAATGTATACATATTACAAAACAGTAGACACACACACATATATATATATATATACACACATGATGATGATAAGATATACTTCTCTTTTTTTATTCTGGGACGTGGGGAATAAAAGACTTACCTCCTCTTCTCGACCTTCTATGAGACAACGATCACCAATTTCAAACGGATGTATAACAAACACAAACATGATGCCTTCAAATATTCTCTTGCAAGTGTCGCCAAACACAAATGTCAGAACGAAAAATTGGGATAAAATCAAGACAACTGCCTGGGTCGATACAACTTTCATCATAAGTAACCACACAATGACGATCAGAATAATGACTATCCCTTTAGCAAGCTTGTTCAACTCTTCCATTCCTCTCCTGGTACTTTTTAAAGAAGATTTTAGCGAATTGCATTCTTTATAAACACTTTCCTACAAAACAAATACAATATATACTACTCAAATTCGTCCTCACAAATAAGCCACTAGTGTATCCACAAGTGTTTGTATATATATATATATATATATATATAGATATATAAATATAACTCACCATCCAACTTCTGAGTTCTCCCCTTCCTACATGGGGTCGTGGCATTTCTTTGCTAGCAAATTGAAACAACATCGCAACAACTTTATTTTTATTGGGGTCAGAATTTTTATGACCCTTCAATAATAAATAAAACATCTGTTTCAAACTTTCATCATCTGGGATTAATTCTGAGAAGACTTCCCTTGGAAAAGTTTTGCCCTCCTCAGACCTAATCGATTAATTAATTATTTAGCTAATTAATTAATGAAGATTAAGAAAAAGGTGATAACAAACCTAAAAAACAAATAAATAACGTAAATTAGAAATCTTACCCGGACCGATCCGAACTCTGAGAAGGCCCAGCCGTTCCGCTTTTTCCCTCTCTGTCGCTTTCATTTGTTAGGTTCGAGCTTAAAAACAACGTAAATTAAAAATCTTACCCGGACGGATAATCAGTGGCGGAACCATGTTGGCCCATGGTAGGGCACAGGCACTGCCATGGGCCGAAAGTTTTTAGTAAAAGGACGAGGCCCGACTGTCTAGGCCCTCAGTGAAAAAAATAAAACATATTTTCTAATTTTCAAAGAAATTAAAAGAAGAGTGGCATCAAACTAATTAAGTCAAGAATGGAGAGTTCAGACTTCAGAGTGGGTTTATTTCTAGTTCTAGGCCTACTCGTTATATTTATTTGATAATTATACCGTTTCAATTTTAATAACTAATCATTTTTACACTCCACGTATTTTTTTTATTGACTTCAAGTCTGTTACTTCACTTTCTTGATTAAATAATATAGTTAAGTTTAAATTATATAATATAATAACTATTCGATGATTATATAATATCATAAAATAGCAAAATCAATTTTTAAAATAATAAAATAAATATCCTACTTTAGTAATTTAGGTAACTTCTTTTAAACACTAAAAATATAAAAATTTTACTTTCAATTATAGATAGAAACTTTATAATTTTAAATTGTATCAATATTATTTCACTTCAATCAAATAATTCAAAAATGATCAAATTTTTCTTATACCTAACCTAACTGTGATATTATATGAGTGAAAAAATAAGAAAAAAAATTATGATGAAAGAATCTTAAATATTATTATTAAGTTGTCAAATTGAAAACTTCTAGATCTCTATGATACATCAAATTAATAGAGTGTATAATTAAGATCTCTCAAGAAAAAATTATTTTTAATAGTTATGTAAACTATTTTAAAATCACCTTGACGTTTAAATCAAGAAGAAAACAGAATTATATAATGTGTTTTTTGTGATCATTTGATATAGATATATTTTTTTATTTGATGCTATAATAAGAAGAGGCAAAACACAAAGGCAAAAAAGGCCCTACCCAAGATTGAATCCCAGTTCCACCACTGCAGATGGTTACATAAACAGTTCTCCCATCGGAGCTGATTAAATTAATATTCCTAATTAATTTACCTCCAGGATTGGGAAGGCTATCGAAAAAGCCCTGACGAGCATTGTTCAACCCAAAGCAGTGAAATAGTGAAAACAAACCATAAGCTATGTAGTAAAATACATCTTAGTGGATGATGAATATATATATATATATATATATATATATATATCAACTCTTAATTAGTACCTTTTATGTGCGAGGAGGTTGTCCCAAATGAGAGCTGCGTAAGTGTCTGCATAATTTTTTTTTTCTTGATCCTTTTTCCCACTGTCAAGGTTGGGTTTGGGCTTAAACTTGGGTTTGAGCTTATAATCATCCCCCATGACATCAAGAAACAGTTTTATTGAGAAAGCTGATTTTGTCCTTCCCTGAGTTCCCTCTGCCCAATTGATAAAGCCATATCTTTTAATGTAATTCATTCTAACTGATCGGCCATCGACCAGAGTCTCAATTACATACTTATAAAACTTGGCTCTCAGAATTCTTTCAAAGAAATTTTTATTTTGGAATGAAACAGCAATCGACCAGAGTAAAAGATCTTTCCCCAGCCATAAACCACCTCCAATAAGAAGGGAAGCGAGAACTCTGGTAACATAATCCAGTATCATCTTGGTTTCCTCCGATCTCGTACCTCCTCCATTTCCAAACCGTACAACCAACGCAAGCCAGGCTATAAGAACCAAGCCCCACCAAACAAAAACTCGATTCTTCTGCTTCAATCCATAAGCAAAGCAGTAAACCTTTAAATTGTCCGCAAAAAACAAGCTAATCGGCAGAAAAACAGCATTCACAATCCATTGAGAAATCAATTTACCACACACAACAACCATCAACAAAATACACCATTTCCACAATTCCAATTCCCAAATCAAATGGTTTTTCAGATTCTGCTTGGTTAAACTAGCAATCAAAAACCCGTTGAAGCTAGCCAATGCAATCCACTCCAATACCACCCAAATTGTCCACTTCTTAGGAGCAACAATTGCTCGAACGATTAAGCAAGCGGAACTAATCAGGACATACACAAGCAGAAAGGGTACAGTCAAGATAACGAATAAAAATCCACTACAGATCTTACTTTTTGTGGTAGTAGCACAATTGCCCGTGCCATCTTTGATTTCACCTTTTGCTTTTGAATTCTCATGAGGAATTGTGTCCTTATTTACTGATGTTGGAGGAGGCACAGTTGATGTTGAAGGACTCTCTTTTGTAATCTCAGCATTCTTTGAAGAAGAGCCAACCTCTGTGTTTCCTGTTTCTAGGTCGTCAAGTTGTTCTCCTCCGTTCTTCTCTGCCATATTATTTTCAGCTTCCAGAGAGAAAACAAAGGGGGTACAAGCTTTAAGTTTCTTCTGGATGGTTTAAATGGTAAACAGAACAAGCAAAACCTAAAAGTATGAATGGGATTTTGCAGGAATGAAGAGCTTAATATGAGAAGGAGAGGAAGCTAGAAGAGCCTGCGGGGTTGAGCCGCAGCTTGGTGGTATTTATAGGGAAGAAAGAGGAACGAGCAGTACTAGAGGCACTCGCCTCTTGCACTCTCCGGCCAACACTTCCCTTTTATTGGGCCACGTAAGCTTGTTTCAGGCTTTGCTTTGCAGTCCAATCCCTTTCCAACCAGATTAACGTGGCCCAATAAAAGTGAAAGTGTTGGCCGGAGAGCGCAGGAGACGAGTGCCCCTAGCACTCCTCAAGGGGAGTAGCAACAAGATTAAAGTAATTGGGGGTGGGGATTGATTTGCATAGTGAGATTATCTATAAATATTAAAAATTTTCTGTAATTTGAGAAGAAAAAGGTGATGATACGGTCATGTAGCTACAATGTTTATTTGTAATCTTCAGAAGTCAGTAAATTTTGGTAGGTGAAAAGAATTAAAATTAAATAAAAGTAACGTATAAAAAATTTTGTTTAAAAATGAATTAATTGAACTTTTTAAATTTAGCGGTAAAAAATTTGTAAATTTTTTATTAATTTTTATATGAACATACAAAAATTAATTTATTTTTAATATTGATGATATATATACAATTTTAATAAGTAGTTTATAAAATTAAAATTAATTTTTATTTTTTCATAGTAATTAATAAAAATAATACAGTTAATATATTTCTAGTTTGTATTTTAAAAGTATAAAATAGAAAAACTTAATGCAAAACTTGTTTTCAAATCTTAAAAAAAAAAGAAAAAAAGAAAAAAAAAAAAAAAAGGCCTTTTTCTTTAACTTGTTGAAGGTACACCCATTTCTCACATTTCTCTATGGTCAAAGAAATCTAGAGGTTACTTAGAGGGCTTAAAAAGCAAGTTCTGTTATGACT